CTACAAAATTGCGTAGCTCTAGGCCAAATGTGCTTTTGACAATGTAGAAGGTGGCGCTGTGGAGCAGTTTTTCTATTGAGGTGTGTATTGTTCGAGTGAGTTTTCGAGTATGTTTAGGGCCTCAAAAACGCGTGTCTTTGTCACAAATAATAATGATAATCCAAGCAGTTCCAATAGGGTCTTCGCACCCTTTTGGGTGCTCGGACCCTAATAATAATAATCACAACGGTTACAATAGGGTCCTTGCACTGGTGTGCTCGGACCCTAACAAGCATAACACAAGATAGGAATTACCTTTGAGTTTATTGAAAAATGAGTCCATTGTACAGATCGAACTACATTGTTAACAATAGCTTGCACTGCACACTGCTTGGTAGACGGCTGCTTAGTGCCCAAAACAGAACCTTTACATGGGAGACAGCAAACTGGATAAACATCCATGTCAACACATGAGACAGACTGAAAACTAGTCAAGAGTTTTAATAAATCTTTCACAGAAAGAATTAGGTGATTATCATCAAAAGATGATTTACTCAAAACATTTTGGAAGTAAATCATAGTTGTGACACATGGAAACCCAAATTTTAAATTGACTTTTTGTTGTACTTCCCTAAAAGATCACGTGGCAAGACAGTGATCACTACATCCACGTACATATGCATGTCAACGTTACCACAGCATGCTTCCTTTGTGTCTCTTCCTCACACACAAATTACACTTAGCACTCCCCAAAGGCATGTGAACGACAACATCTTTAGATTCAATTAAAGGTCTCATTAGTTTAGGCAAAGTCAATCACAGTACAGCATCAGACACAGAGGATCTATCCTATGTACAAACGGTATATAAGAGCATAACAGATTCAGTCACAGTCAGTCAGAGGGTGCGTTAACTGCATTCTAGCATTTTTTTTCAATACAGGACACATTGTTAAAATAAAGAAAAAATATGAACTAAAAGTGAGAATCAGTTTTTTTGTTGGTTGGTTCTCTTCTGCATGATGCCAAAACACTACAGTTTGTAATTAAGCCATCTCAATACCCACATTAAACCAGAGGCACCAGATGAAGCAAAATGACAAATTTAAAAACTGGTATTAAATGGAGAAACAGGCAATTATCTCATTTAATGGATTTTATAAATCCTGTAAATTGATCTATTGCGTTAGTGGTTACATGATGAAAACACCACCTCAGTGCAACACGAGGCAGATTTTTTATTTTTTTTTATTTAAAAAACAAAAGATTTACAGTAAATCTTATAAATAAAATGGTTTGAATGAGCACCATTAAGAAGGTATTTTAGACAATTTCAAAGAAACTCACTTCATATGGTCACAAAGAGTCATGTTATCATCATTTACAGTGGTTTCCCCCAATTTAAGTTACACAAATAAACACACAGGATTTCATCTTGCATAAATGTGGTTCAGTAGATGTTACTTGATCAGTGGAAGAAAACACACACACACACACACACACATCTGACAACAGATGAAAAAAATATGTACAAACTTCAAAAAAATAGATGCTTCTGAGGAGAAATTCGTACATCTTAATATACTACATTTACTTCTCCACAACAAGACAGATTAGTGCTATACATGTGATCTGTGCAGTAACATTACAAAATCTTAATCCTATATGAGTTTAGAAAGTAGTTGCATTGTTGAGTCATTAGAGTGAGTGAGTGATTTATATATTACATTCTAGCATCATCACTGGAGTTCCTTTATTTGTTCATGTCTAAAAAAAACAGAGAGAATTAACACAGACTGAAGTTAATTGCATTGTCCTGCATTTTTCTTGAATACAGTCACAGACCACTAGAAAACGTGCCATGGCCACATGTTTCACAGTAACACGGTCAAAAGAGACCACACACATTTAGCTGGACCTGCAGAGGAGTTTGGCACAGAAGATGTCTGCGTACACTATCTGTGCTATTTTTGCATGCTCTGGATGGTTTCACTGTAATGCAATGTGGGGGTTTCTGGTGCAAAATGTCCAGTTTGCTTGAGGTCAGAAAAGATTACACACCTGGATCAGGAACAACTTAAACGGAGACTGTAAATCTCTGCTTACTAACTGGTGAACGCGCTGCTATGTGATGTGTAAAGAAAGACAATATTCTTTCCGAAACGAGATTAAAGAATGAATGCTGCACCAAGAGGCCTCTCTGGGATTTGAAAAGCATCATCAAATAATTAATGTGTTATGAATTACATATGTAAATCATATTCTATTGACTAGTCTAAGTGAGCAGTGGTGTCGGCTGAAGGAGAGAACGATGACCGGCTGAAGGAATCTCTCATAGAGCTAAAGGGATATTGTGTTCTGTAGTGTTGGAATGCCTTCACAACGTGTCAGTGCACTTGCAAATGTCTTTAACCCTGTGATGAACCCTGATCAGGAAGAACTAACCTGTTGGCTTCACTCCCAAACAGCTGTTAAAATTTATCAGGTTATTTGATGCTCTTATTTTATAAAAGTCTTTGTCTTTTTACATTCTTTTCTTTAAAAACAACAGTCGTACTTGTAATGGACCCTAATGAGTCCTGTTTTTTTTTTTCTCATAAGTGCTCTCTTTTGATCTTAGTTTCTTGGGTTTTCTCACTGCTGATCGATGGCACAGCGACTTGTTCATGTGGGATATTAGAAACACATTCATCTACTGCCAATCAGTAGTTGCAATTACTTAAATTAAGAGTCATCTTGGAGCTAAGAAGCTGCTCTCATTTACCATGTTAGGAAAAAGCTTGATGGCTGTTTCCCACACGGTTCTTGATTTTTTTAATATCTTCTACACTCTAGCTATGCTGCTGGTCTCATGATGAATCACAAATCCACTGACCACAGCGTCACGTCTGACTGTGGGGTGGAGAAAGCAGCGTGTTTCCTCAGCTTGTCTCAATCGGCTGCGGGTCATCTTCTTCTTCTTCCTGACTGGTGCCGTCTGGAAGCTGTTTGCTCCAGTAGTTGCACTGGTCAAAGGTGTCAGAGCGGTGAAAGTCTGCTTCTTCATCCTGAACCAGGACTGGGAAGACGTGGTCGACCATGTCACACAGGTGCCCGTAGCTGAGGAAGAGACACAGACTTTTGCAGTTTTTACTGTGCAACGACAGAATCCAGACATTGGTAATGTTGTTTACTGTACTTGGGCACTGGCTGCATTATCATCTTCCCTTAGGGGAAAAACATCTTAGCTTGTTTGGATTTGTTTAAACCAATCACAGCCCAGAATGCAGCAAAAGTGCAGCTGCAAAATAGCACCACCTGCTGGCCAGCTCAGGAGTTCAATCATATTGACAGGGTGCTGATTAATCATACCTAACATGGAAGCGCCTTTGAACAAATTGATAAAAATCAAAAGAAAACAAAGACCATAGCTTACGAGGAGATATTGGTTTTGGCGTGCTCCTGGATCAGCTCCCCCTTGGGATTGACGGTGAAAATCCTGTTCAGGGGAACACCCACTTCCTTATAGGAATACACATCCTAAAATCACACACACAACAAAAACAATCAGCATCCAACAAACGAGTCCAAAGTAGGAACATTACAGGCGTTCTTCAATCTGTCTGTGTGTGTTTGTATTCTTACCGTGGCTCTGTTGCCAAAAGCAGCGTAGAACGGCTCAGTGTTCGGGTAGAAAAGCTGCTTGATGTCTGTCAGACACTCGATCTTAAACTTCTCTGGTTTCTTCTCAATCACCTCCCTATACAACACATAATATCAGACACATTTTATATAGATTTGTTGTTATCCTTTTTGCCCACCGGGACTGTACATTTGTGTCCATTCAACGGGATTCTGAAGGAGTACGGCTAAATAATGCACACTGAATTTTAGCGACAAAATTTTAATATATTATTTTTGCAAATTCTTATCCGTTTTTCTATCAATGAATTACCGACTGCTAAATATTTGGACGTTTATTTATAGGACTTTAAGGCCATTTTAACTCTCATGTTGGGTGTCTGACCTGTGCAGGGCAGAAAAAAGGCTGCTGGGGCTGAGCAGCACCGGGCCCATCGGCAGCATGGTTCCCCTCTCGTTGACCCAGTGCAGGTAGCCTCGCGTCATATCAGCCATGCCGATAGCTCTTGCCGAGCAGTACATGAATTTATATCCGTTCCTGTGACAGAGAGACACGTTGTACTTGCCACGACACACGAAATAAGCAGCGAGCTAAACGTGTAGGTGTGAGGCAGCACTCACAGGCTGACTTTGTGGTAGAGCCGTGCAATACCCTGATGGGTCCAGTCTTTACCCAGCGTGGGCAGAATGTGACCCAGAGTGTCGGACCTAAAGTGTAACACAAGAAACAGCAACATCACACCGTCAATGCATGTGTCCTTTGCAGCTAATTTCACACATGCATGGCCTTTAACACATGCATGGCAGAGAAACTTTAACCTGTGCAAAGCCTGGCATCTGCTGGCCATCAGCTGGAACTGAACAGGCCAGCTGCTGCAGGCGCTAACTCGCTGTTTCCTACCTTGTGATGGTGCCATCTATATCGGAGATGACTATTTTGTCATCCCAGCTCCAAAGATAGATTGTGCCATGGCAGCGACAGGTGCCTTGATACTGAGTGGTCACGCTGAACACCACGTCATTAGGACCCTCCTTCAGCTGCAGGCTGGCCTGAAAAGCACACACATGTACACAGTGTAAGCACAAAGGTGAGCACAAGACGCACACATAGAGAAGGAGAGGAGGAATGTGTGTTCTTGAGGTTGTGTATTCAGCGATAGGCTTTCTAGATACTCTACAGATGGAATACACATGATAAACAACTATAGATGAGGTTTTCCTCTAATGTAGAAATATGCAGCCCTGAGTTTCGGTTCTCTGTCTATCTGTAAAGCCACGTGTTTCCATTCATGGTAAACATACCCAGCTTTAAAAATCCCCTCTGCTTCACTAGTTTAGAACCCAACAGTCTGAGGCAGCCCCAGTGAAGATGATGTGTTCATGCTTGTCATATAAGCAGAACTTTGCCCACATTCTTGCTTGATCATTGTAAACCAAGTGTGCAATAAATAACAAGCTGCTTCAGAGCTGACGTGACACTGACTTGTGTTTGCAGGAATAAATACTGTACCAGTTGCTCTGAGGTGAGACGAAGAGTCTTTTTATAGCAGACGCTGCCAGAACTCTGACTGAGGGCCTCTGACTGACACGATCCTGACACCTGAATGGATGATCTGTGGTCCTCATCGCTAGAGGACGACTCATCCTTCAATCTGAAAAATCCAAGAGAGCCAGTTTGGTACATGGAGAATACCTCAATGTAAAGATAAAACCAAGACAGTTGTGTGTCTGGTGTCACCTGTTGACTGAGGTCATCGTGAGTGAACTCTCTCCTCGGTCTCCTCCTGCTTCTGTCACTGATTCCTGAGGTGTGCAAAGGTCAAAGGTAACCATCCTTTTCTCTCTTACACTCTGTACTGTCAAAATCTCACCAACGATGTGTCTGTGTGTGTACTTACAGACTTGGAATCACTGTTCCTGCTTCTCCACGAGAACCACCAGCGTCCTCCTTTCTTTGGCATCTTCTCCTTCATGATGTTCTCCACCGAGGCCTGGAGACAACCATGCACATACAACTCAAAACTGACTGAAAATGTAACTTAAAACTGAGAAAAAAACAAAAAACGTCAATGCACAAAAAACAAATCAACCCAAAAGGCAACGTAAAAACATGACAAACACCACATTTCAAATCACACTAAACTCCAACTAACTTGCCACGATGAAGGCAGTTAGAGATGAGAACACAACAGCATGCAAATGACAAGCAAAAGATGCAACACCTAAAAAGAAGACTCTTCTGAAGATTATGGTTGGGTAGCAGAGGGAAGCAATACGTGGGGGAAACAACAAGACACAGAGAAACATACAAAGTAGAAAGAGGTTGATAGATATGGTGACGATGATGGAAAGCTAAGACAAAACCAGACATGCCCTGACAAACACTCAAACAAAGCCAGAAAACATCATACAGGCTGGGAAGGGCTGGAGCCAAACAGACCAGGGAGGCAGTATGAGAAGAGGCCAAAAGCAGAAAACACATAACTCAAACACCAACACTTTGTAAACACAAATGTCGCATGGATGATGGGAGAAAGAATGTATGTAAATAAAAGGGAAAAAAAATAAGGAGGGGGATAAAGACATGGCATTATTAAAGTGTTAGGACATTAGACTCATATTTCACTGAGGTGTAAGACTGGCAGCTTTGATACGAGCTTTGCCTTTGAGTGTTCAGAAATGACCAATTTGCCGTATCTGACGGTGTTAACATAACAATGTTCACTTGGATTAATTGCTTTGTTTGGGAGGAAAAAAGTAATGATTGTGAACACACATTAGCTTGTAGCATTGCATTGAATGAAATAATGAGATACTGCTGAACCAAAGTGAAACAGATTCGGGAGAATTAATTGCAAAATGCTGGGAGTGCACGGGAGAAAAGTGATGCAGGGGGTTGCATAACAGTGAGACACACAAAAAAGGTAATTTTGAACTGTGCTGAATAATACTTTCATGGCATTTGTACTTTGATTTTTATCCTACAGTGCTTTTTCCTTCTACTTCACAGCTTTTCAGAGAGAACTATTGTACATTTAATCCACTCCGTTTACACAACAGCTGCAATCATTAGACACTCTGAACATACAGATAAAAACAGCAAAACATAAAATAATAAAAGAGTAGGTGAAGTAAACAAATAAACCAATAAAACAAAAAAAATAATAATATAAACCTAACAGGGTCCATTCAGCAGCATGATGCACATTTTTACTGTTTAGGCACATCTTTCTAATAATACTGGCTGCTTTATAATAACACGCACCACACTGCAAACAAATGAGAGTAAATATTTGTGTACCACTGCGGTGGTCTTACCTGCGGCAGGGGTTTCTGGTACACCTGCATGGCCAACATGACAGGAGCTGCTGTGTTCCAGTTGTAATACCTACAATAGAAAACAGAGAAATCTACATGCACCTCTTTTTCTCCATCTACCTACAACAGCTTACATATCTAACTGTACAAAAGGAAAGAGGACTTCTGTGCTTAAGATTGTATTAAAGGAATAGTTCAACAGTTTAGAAAGTACACATTTCTTAGCTTAAAATGTAAAACAGTTCTTTTGTAGGTAGCATGGCGTCATCCTAAACGTGATTCAGTGAAGATATAGAGCGCTTTGCTTTGGAAGGTTCCACATGGTCACATTGGATATGACTTTTACAAACAGTACTCGTTACATATGCCTACCTCCTTGAAATTGTTAATATCTGCTTATGCAAAATAAACAGAAACGTATGTGCAGTACATGTCAAATACTAAATGTTTATCACAGTTTCTGCACTTTGTCAAAATGTGAAACTGACTTTGGTATTAAATGTAGTGCTACATACTTGTTTCCTATCTTGACCACCAGGTTCGGGTCGTCGATAATGGAGGGATTTTCTGAGAACTGCTGGTAGGAAACTGCCCTCTCCAGGAACTGCTCTGTAGCATTAAAAACACACACACAGGATACATAAAGAACACACACAGATTAACAGACACATGATATAAAAAGATTATCTGGGGGGTAAGTCTCTGGACTTCTGATTTAACACATTTTATTATTGCTTTTTTATATAATAATTTGATAAAAGCCCCACTTTAACTTTAAAGAAGTAACTGATAATTTCTTGCTTAAGCGTGTTCCTTATCCTACCTCTTGTGATCTCCTTGTTGTCGGTGAGTCCGCCGCACAAAGAGATGGCGACATGAGGCAGGTCACCCATCTGGTCGGACAGACTGTCCACGCCGCTGTCCATCCCGCTGCTGCCCACCGACTGTGGCGACTGATTAGCGCTCCTCACGCCCACCATCATCATCTCCGAGTCCCCCTTCATCGAGCTGCTGCCTCCGTCACTGAGGAGGGAAACACAAACACATTCACACATGGTTGTTTAAAGAAATGTTGTTGTGGAAGTGTAAGCTATTTTAATCATCCAATTAACAACGGCCTGAACTGTAAAGAGCGCTGATTGGGTCAACTGCTACAACTACTTAATTGTAATAATCTCTACAATAAGGCAGTAAGGGCTGGCTGTAGTTATATAACTTACATAATAAAGCACTAAATCAGTGGTTTGGTGCCACACAATACAAAAGTCTGTTCATTTCTATTGATCACAGCTGAGGACCTTCAGAACGGCCACCAGAGGGTGAACTACACCTCATGAATACCGTCTATACAGTAGATGTGTGTCTTCAGGGTGGCATAAGAAGACATGCACAAACATGCACTGTACATGTACACGTATATGTCAGTTATCGTACCTTTTAGGGAAATAGAGAGCAGCTACTTCAGGCTCCAGCTCTGTAATGTCATCCAGATAAATGCCATCAGCGCCCAGGTGTTGGCTTCTCTTTTCTAGAAGGGACAGTGTCAAACTTCATCAGCAAAAGGTGATGCAAAGAGACAGAGTTGAGTTCAAGAAAACCTGTGAGTTGTTTACAGCACCTTTCCTCTTGGATGGTGAATCAGTCCTTCTGATGGGACTCCCTCTGTTCCTGCCCTCAGCCTCCAGGTGATCGGGAAAAATCCTCGCAGACATTGAGGACGCTGTTAAACAATCCACCTCTGCACTCAAAGGCCCAACACTTTCCACATCTCTCACTATGGAAAAAAAAAATAAACCACAGAAAATCAACCGATAGATAAAAACAAACTCATGGATCAACAACATGAATTTCCACAATACGACCACTGGAGGTCCCCCCAGGGCAAATACTACAAGTCTTGAAGGAGAGTGTGGAAAATATATGTGTTGTTTACAACTTGCAAATAGTTTGAACTGTGGCTCAGAGGGTGTTATCCTGGTTATGTTTTTTGAGCTTTTACTCCAAGAATATTGGTTGTAACAATTCTTTTTTGCCACTGTAGGGATTACTTTGCCGTATCATCCTCCGTACAACTACCTTGCTCTCCTCCAGCCTTGACAGTTAGTCCGATCCTGCCTCCACTACTGTTATCGTCAGCGTCCTTGGTCTCCCCTGACTCTGGGCCATAGAGAACGAGGGAGGGCGGCCCGGCGTCGCTTATGGCTCTGAAGTGAGTGCTGGCGGACACCGGGATGGAGAGCGAGGTGGCAGAATCCTGCTTCTGGTGGGAAATCAGGAAGGACGGCTGCAAAGGGCAAAGAGACTGTTCAGACTTTTCAGACAATATTAGTTTTTCTGTATTAGAGTATATTTGTCTTAGTCCCTCCCTTCTTCACTATCCTCTCCATTTGTTTCTTCATTCATCTGTGGATTAGCTCAAAAACTCACTGACTGCCAAGTTTTAATTAGTTTGTTTAACCTGGACAGAAACCAAAAGTGTAAAAGTGACATTTTGTGGTATTCATGTCAGAGTGAGGTAAATCTCTGGCATTAGAAACAACAATTAACTTAGTGAAAATTAATCATGTCAATCGGTGAGCTTCAGGGCTGATAGTAGGCAAATGCTGTTATTGTTCGAGAGAGTTGAGCAAGCTGGGTCAAGTCTGAGCCAACAGGCTGAAATCTGATTTAAAATATGTCAACAACCGCTCAGCGTCTCTAGAAATAGTGGAAATATTTCTGGGAATCACCACCCACATTATTTAGAACAGTGACTGTGATCAGCATGTAGAATCACATATTACTCATACTGCAAATGCTAATGAGGCTTAATAAGGGCTCTATGTTTCATATCATAAGGAGATATAACCATATGCAGACATCCCCATGTGATCATATGTAGGTACCTGAGCAGCCTGTGGCAGCTCCCCCCACGTCCACAGCATCTCGGGGTTGTCCTTCGTCTGATTGGTTAGTTCTGAGTCGCTCTTTGGCGTTGATGAGCGCGAATCATCTGGGCTGCTGGTCAAATGACAGTCTGGATTTAGATCAATGTGCACTCAACAGTTTAACAGCTTTATTGTGTGTAAACAACCTTGAAATACTAGAGAAAAAAAAGTAATCTCCTTCATATTATATTGTATTATAGTTGGAAAATGTCCATTTTCAGCTTCCAAAAAATGAGTGCATAATTACATCTCACAGTATTCAGAGAAGGTGGAATCAAAAGGCGATACCTAACAGGTGAAGAGAAGTGAGAGGTCCGCTGAGGACAAGAGATGGACAGACCACAGGGTGCAGGAATGGAGAGAGTTTCCTTAATCACAGAACTACGTGAAGATAAACAAACAGACAGAAAAAGGAGACGAGAAGGAGGACAAAGAAAGGGAAAGACAGTGAGTTGCAGATTTATTTTCTACTTATTGTGAGGACAGAAAAAACCTGAACAGTGTGCGGTATGATATGAGCAGAATAAGAAAGGATTTCATAAAGAAGAGCTTATTGAAAAACTTTATCATAAAGTGTGTGTGTGTGTGGTTTGTGTCCAAATACATACCTCTGTGAGCGAGTCCAGTCGGTGCTGGTGTGTGTGTGGCTGTTAGACTGATCACCGTACGCAGGTCTGATAACAAACACACACATCCAGGGAGATGTTAGTCGTATACACAAACACAATATTTCACAATCAGACACCTTGTAAACACAGCGTCTCCGCGAGTCTACATAAAACATTGAAGCAGAAATGAAAACAACAGAACGCTCTGAAAACCACATGAGACCTGAGCGGCCTCTTTGAGTGTTACCACATGTCACAGAGAAAATGTCCTCATCAAGTACAGTACGGAACGCTGCATGGAGCGGACGCGCATTCTTTTACGTCTTTAAGGGTTTCAGGAATTTTCCCGACCCACCGAGTGGTCCTAAAAAAGGCTTGGGACCCTGCAGTAAGGATAGCCCTGTGAGCCATTATTTCAAAAAGACAGAAAACACTGTGGGAACAGGACGAATCCCTGGAGCGTGTCCAACAAACGGAGCTGGTTTTGAAAGGGCTTCACACACATCAACACAAACATGCACGTACTTGCAGACTCACAATTTAAATCGTTTCTCACAAAACCATTTAAGTGGTGTTGCTCCATTGAGAAGATTTTACTGAACAAAGAGAGAAGCAACGTAGGTGTATGCTGAATGTGTGAGTGCTGCTTTTCTTAATAAACACACACTGCCAACGTAAGAACAATTTTGGTGATCTTCCTGAACTCTTGTCACTGGTTTGAGCTGGGCAGGGTTTATCTGGAGAAAGGCGATGTCATGCACAAATTAGGATTTGGAGACATCTGAATCAGACTCTGGTGACAGCGGGTGGGTTGTTTTTTCCTGTCAATCAAATCTGATCAAAATACACCCACAAGGTTCTGATGAAGCAGGTTTTTTCCGAGCTTTAGAGTTTCACACTTCACTAAAAATGAAAGCTGCTTTGAAGCTTTTTGTCATGAACATTTAACGATAGAGAGAAACCCCTGACATGATTTAACGTCACACTTTTGGGCTGTGAGGATCAGATGGTGGGCTGACTGACGCTTGATTGTTATACAATCATTCCAGGAGCTTGCAATTGTAATTAAAGCACAAATCCTAACAGGACTAAGAGTCTACAGCTCTGTGAAGCTTATAGGGTGTCTTTGGGCTACATTAACATGCTCAACGATAAAGGTATAATACTCACAATTTTACCACATTGGCAAAACAAGTTTAGGTGATAGCACAAAATGTAAAAACCACAAAAGCTGAGGCAGAAAAGTCATAATTTGGGCAAAAAATGCTATATTTCAAGTTGCACTGACAAAATGCCCTCGGTCCTGACCTTTTGTTGCACTCCTGATCTTCTGATTCATGTAGTGCAAACATACGCCTATGTTTTAGACAAATAAAACAACCACTTAGTGCTGATTCATGCCTAAAAAACATGATTACACACTCACACAGTGTCTCCCGTTAACACAATTAGATGAGTTACTGGGAGTGGTTAATGGACTTTACCAACGACATCGTGACTGCTGACTAAGTTTGCTTTCCTCAGAAATGACAACGGCTAACTGGCATTTAACTTCTCTCGTCTTCGCCCAAACACAATCACACGCTGTCTCGCGCACACACCTGTCGCTGTCCCCCTCTCTCTCCTCATCCGAGCTCAAGTCAATCGTGAACATGTCCTCGTCCTCTGAGAACTCTTCTCCGCTCTCCTCCCTCCTTCCTCCCACTCCTCCTCCTCCTCCACCTCCCTCTGGTCGTGCCTTCCTCCTCCGCTTCCTCCTCTTCTTGGTCATCCCTCCATCACCTTGCTGCGGCAACAGGCTCTGCACAGGGAGTGAGCTGCTGGGGATGGCGTCTACGTGATGAGAAAAAGCAGCATGAAAACGGTTCGATATGCACATTTGAAGAAATTTCAATATTTGTTTTGTTAACAGAACCTACCGAGGTGACGAGAAGGGCCTCTGCCCAGCTGGGACGCCATCAACGCCTCCCCCATTGACATGATGGGTGACGTTGCCAAGTAAGATGGAACCACCTCCTGTTGAGAGGGCGACACAACATGATCAAATGAGGTCTTTAATATGTTAGAAAGAATGAACAGTCCTTGATTTAACCCCTATTTACAGTGTGTTGACGTGGTCATCGTTACTCTGATCCACCAGATGTAGCCTTTCATTTCATGCAACTTTCTACCCTTATGGTAACTATATGCTACCAATTTCAAAATCAGCTTTACTATGGGAAACAACAACCTCTGGACAGCAACCTGCTACACTGAAAAATGTCAAGTTTTGCAGAGAATCTGGATCCTGCAGCCCTGCTTGTCGTATTCTTTCATTTTAACAACATTTCTCACTTCCCTGTGTTCAAATGTTCCACCAACAAATTCCCCTCCGTCACTATTTATCGCTTATCTCCACCCAAGATGATTGGTTTAAAGAAATATAAACAAGCCAGAGCAATCTTTACATCTTGAGCCGAATAATGTTGAGATGCAGTCAGACCGTTCTGTGCTGTAGAATGGTCCGGCTAACTTACAAATTACAAAAGTGTGGAAGGAGTTGCTCATTAACCAACACAAGGTCTCCATCGTAAAAATGCAGGTCTTAAAATTACAAGCAACTTATAAGCTTCAAATATGTAACAGTTATAAATGAGTAAGTCCTACTGTTGTGGTTAATATTTAATATATCCTCCAACCTCCCTTCTGATGTTTGCCCTCTAACACCACAGTGACTTCACATACCGATCTGAGATTTGGTACACTTGTGCACAAGAAGTGTGGGAGCCAGGAGATTTAAACTTTAATGAGTTAGAGCTGCAATTTTTATTTAACAGGGTAAATATAAAACAAAAAAATTAGGATGTTTTCAAGAGTGTTTAAAGCCCTGTATTTGTGTGCTGACATTTAAATCTGTTAATATTTTCTTTAGTTTAAGATATTAACTAAGGCCCTGTAATATTTACGACAAGAAATGTAAAACTAGGAGGTATAGGCCTAAAACAGCTGCTGCACAAAACAAATATAATCAACTAGAGAATGCAATTACGTCGAACAATGAAGGATAAAGTAGGATTACAGGCGTAACAGCAGCTCTGTCAGGTGATGCTTTAAGACAAACACTGACACTAGCACTGCAACATAACATTTACCATGTTCACTATTTTAGTTTAGATTGTCAGCATAGTGACATTTTCATCATAGCTCTAAACACAGCTAAGGATGACAGGAGTGTCTTTTGTTCAGCAGGCCACACCAAAGTAAATTGGATGCATCACCTGATGATCCTACTGTCTGTACAAACTGTCTGTACAAACTGTCACTGCAATCACAAATGTGTAGCTGCTTAGATTTTTCAAGTCTGGACCAGAATGGTAGACCAGCAGTCAAACATGGGCTTCCCTGTGGATCTAAATAATCTGGTGAGAATTTGGGTTTGAGCTCAGATTAGCAAAATCACACAGATTTTCACATCAGAGTCGCACTTCAGCTACCGCGCCAACAGAATAAATAGACAGACAGACAGAGAGAGAGAGAGAGAGACAGAGTTTGAATGAGTGAGTAAGATGAAGAGATGATCCACACAGTGCAGACTGACACATGCTTTGTGGTGCACGTGTCACAACACAGTCCAAGTCAGCGCGATTCATTTGGACGGGAGAGGAGAAGGGACTCAGAATGTACGATATGAAAGGTTACGGGAGAGCACATCTGCTCAGGGCTCTGCTGTTAGTGGGATCATCCACCATGAAAACTATTTCAGTTCACTCCTTTAAAATAATCTTATTGTTTTGTGAAATCAAAGAAATGTCTGCTATGTGTGAATACTGTTTTCAGATCGTCCCTTACACAACAGACAAGCAACACAGCACTGATTATAAACAAACAGCCAAAAACATGATGGAGAAAAAAATAGCTGATTAGATCGCTCTTAATTACTGAGGAAGAATGTTTAACATAGAACTTTAAATCTTTACTATTGGCAACTCTGAAATGAAAGCTGGTAAAGCGACACTGATTAAATAAACACAAAGGCAATTACACAAATTTTATGTTTTTCCCGTGTCAACATAAACACATCAAGATGCTACCGGTACGCAAAGATTCCTGATGTTGTAGCCCGAAGAGAACATTTGGTAACGTTTCATGAGCAGGCTCTAATGCACAAGCCCCAACAAATCCTCAAGTTTAACTTCACCCCCTGAGGAACGGAGTAGGAGAAAGTACGAGGCGGGGGGAGGTTGGGTAGGAGAGGCACAGAAAGCTGGGCTCGATGCCAAATAGGTCTTTAAAATTGTTGTTGAGCTTTTTACGTTGAGCTCAGAGAGACAGTAACTGAACAAAGACACTGATTGAAGGTAAATAACTCGAAACTGGTTGAAGCCTCAAACTGCCAGTTGCATCCTGCGCCTGATCATCTGAACAGGAGACACACCGTACTCTACATGTCTGTCTGATGTCTCGTCTACACGGACGGTGCACAAGTCAGTGAGCGCCGGTTTCAGTCTGTGCACGCTGACGGTGAACTGGGCAGAGCTATAAATAGGTCTCTGGTGCTTTTCCACTCTGTGAAGGGAGAGTTATGTTAAGGAGAGGATTTGACACTAGGCCAGAACAGTGGAACAGTCACGGTCAAACAGAATTAGCAAATAATTCTGTATGGCCTTTATTGTCCCATCCGTTAAGGACTGAGGCATTACAGCGCTGGTGCATTCTAAAGAGCTCCTAATGCACCTATTGATCAGCTGATTGTCAGAGAACGGATTCTGCTCTCTGAGACGGACATTAAGTAGTGAAAGCAGAATCACATCAGTGTAATCCTTCAGATTAAGAATTAGATCTTGTCCGATTATGACATATTCCTCTTAATTCTCGACGAGGGAGCGCAGCCAGCTCTTGCCACTGCTCGCCCCTTCACGCATCACATTGTGACTGCTGACGAAGGTTGTTTACAACGGCGAGGGAATAGATCACCCTTGTTTCCTTCAGAGAAGTGGTGCCGCGACCCGTGAATTCCTCCATCCTCCCATCAATCTTTAGCTATCGCACTACAGATTCAGTTTTAAGACAGAAAGGAAACGTTCTCAGATTAGACTTTTTCCTGTTATGTTTGCATTTGTGCCGCACATGCTTAGGTGTAGTACGATCTAGTACAAATTCAAGTCTGACAGATGATTTCCACTTAAGGAGATTGAGGCAAAACAGCAACCCAGGGCTATGATATATAATTTCGATAAATAAGTTTTGACACGCCATCAGCACATAATTGACTTTTTCAATGTCACTGTCGCATTCTCATATTGTTAAAGGATGAGCGATACAGAGTTTGAAATGCAGGCCGGTTCACTTCTTTCAGTATATTTTGTATATTTAAGTGCGTATATTTTTTCAGTTTGTGAGGCCACACGTGGAATTTCAACCTTTCGTCTGCTTTTTGACATACTGATGTCACTGGCTTCCTCCTGACTTGTTGCTGGCAACACACACGACATAGGATGACATATACAATCTAACAACGCAGCTCAGTTAAGACCACAATAAAGCAATGAGTCCGCTACAAACTGTCAGCTGTCTGTAGAGTGTTGGTGCATGAGCCAGTCTTGACTGACTGTTTATGCTTTCTGCCTGTCCTGATGGTTTGTTTCCAGGAAACTAAAGTCATGCTGGCCAACAGGATGCCACAAGAGGACAGAAGCTCTTGTTCTGTCTTGTTGCTCAGTTTGTATTTCCGCTGATATGCTCAAGTCTCTATCTGCTCGTGTAGAGACAGAATCAGATCAGCAGATGTTTTTTTTTTCTCTCTAAACAGACATATGCCATTGTCCACGTGTCATTTCCCCGACCTCCATTTTATTATGTTAATTGCTTTCGAAGCCTCCCCTTTGAAGTCGCCTGACAGAACTCCGTCTGCATCTACTAAAAAAGAGGAGAGGTACATTTCTGCCTCGCCTGGGCTTGTCTGGGCAGGAAAACTAGAGATTTAAGTCTGACAATTATAATGTTTGGAGATTTATCACTAAGTAGTAAAACCTGTAGGAACCCCGACAATGAAAGAGGGCCAAAATCGACTGCGCTCCCTACGAGCAGCAGAAATCAAACACGCTGTCATTTCATGCTATGCAACCTTCATGTGCGCATTATGTTCCGTTCTATATTTGTGTGCGTTTACTGACTCGAGGTAATGACTCTGTCAATCATTACTCACCATTTTGTTCTCGGTCTCTTTGACGAAGAATGCCTCTCCATTCTCTCCCAGCTTCATGTGCAAACTCACAGGCTCGCCATTAATCTCTATGTCCACCTGCAGGACGGAATAAAGAGGACATGCGGTAAACCTCACCACGTGTTGAAATGTACAGCAGCTTGTAAAAATAAATATCCATCTCATCTGGGCGTCACTATAAATGTATCCACAAAGAAAACGATTGGCTGTATAGTCATCTTTGTTTAAATAATCTAATGCAGCACTGTTTGGTGCAATATGGCAAATAAGTTACTGTGTGACACATAAATATCATAGTTCTGACTTTATTTGCAATGGAAACAGGGCTTGTTTTTTTAACTGTATATGCCACATTTACTTGAGTGTAAAACCAGAATGCTTAAACTGCTTAAAAGAAGAATATAAAAAAAAAGAATACTTAAGTAAATACTAGAATACTTGTTCCACCACTTATTATCTCTTCTTTATCTTTGCTCTTCTGTGGTTGCATGTGTGGGCAAACAGACTCTGAGCTCTGTAATTACCTGTGTACAGATACGCTGCACAAATAAATAAAGAAAAATCGAGAGGCAGAGAGCGCTCTATGATCTCACCACTTTCTCACGGGACCGCAGCACGCCCATCTTGCCGAAGCGGACGTGGAAGGGGGAGCACTGCAGGGAGCCATCGGGCTGCCGGACCACGATGACGTCTATGCATCCAGACAGCGTTGCGGGGTTGAGTCCTCTGTACAGCTCCTTGACCTGCACGAACACCTGGCCCGCCAGCTGACCCACATAGTTCATGGTCTGTAACTGGAGACAGGCGGGGAGAGAAAGGGAGGCGGAGAGATTTTGATGATTTTGATGATTTCTTTTGTGACAGAGATGTCCCCCATTTATTCATGTTTCACGCCTTTAACGTAAGACTACATAATAATACTATACAGGTGTGTGATTGACTGGTGTAAGACCATACTGTCATCCTGCCTCATTAAGATCCATTATTGATCCACTCAGTTCAGTTACTGCCTACACATGCCAACCAAACTCGCACATGCCTGGCAGGTTGCTGAAACCACACACAAAGACAATTTCCACATTCTTGTATGTACTAACGTGGTGCTGCTGAGTGTTTGTTTGTGGCTGTGATCGGTGATGGTGAACAAATGAAGAGGTCATTTGCAAAAACAGATTTTTCCAGATTTTCAGAAAACTTATTTTTTTGTTGTTTGCTTGAGATAATATCAATCAAACTGAAGTTGAGTGGATTTCACTCAGTAGAAATGACATGACACCTTCAGTTTGATTGATATTGTCTCAGAAGATGATAGAAAAGTGGGTTTTCTGAAGGTTTGTGAAGATGGACTTATCTGTTTTTGCAAATGAACTCTCTAAATGCTTCAAGGTTTTCCTTCTTTCTGTTGAAAACAAAACGCCGATATATAAACTCAGAAGTGCCTTTGTCCTCTCTGTAGTGAAAACACAGTTCATCAGGGACAAGATTAATCACATGGTGCTGTGCCAGTCTCTCTGATCCACAGCCTCTAATGCTCTATGTCTAGAATGCCAAACATGGCCCTGGAGAGAGCCTCAGACAGGGAAAAGCATTCACTGAGCTGTGGGTAGCTGTTGATTCGAGAGAGGGAAAGAAACAACAAAACGCATTCGGCATCCAGAAGAACTAAACAGTATTATTAACATTTTGTGGATCGATGAGTTGACATTTCACACATACGGAAGCATAAAAAGCTATGAGAGTGTTCACAAGGTCTGATTCTGGTTTCTGCTGTGCTGTAAGAGTGTGTAACACACCAGCTAATGGCCCTAAAGCCATGATGCTTTATTCATGGGAGCAACTGTGGGTAGGATATCGGTGAGAGGGCATGGAGAACAGATATTTTTAGAGACTACAGTGAAAAATCCATAAATCTGCTTTTCACGTGCTGCGCAGAATCTGTTATATTTACTCAAACAACTGCCAGCACCGGTGCTTCGTTAGGGGTGAAAGAAGATCTAATCTGATGCATGGGAATGTGCAAAACAACTTGAATTGAAAAAAACCTAAAGGATACAAAAGGCCAGCTACAGAGAATGACAGAAGAGAAGTAAAGAAATATAAAGAAAAGGAAGATGAATGAAAACAAAAAGTAAAGGGTGTCATTCTGAAGGAAAATAAAAGGAGCAAAGCAGATGAAGCTGCAGGACTCTGGAGAAATAGATGATGCTAATCAGTGTAAAGTTTAGGGGAGGACAAGCAGAAATGCAATGTGGGGGAATTTGCAAAAGAGGTGAGAGGTCGGTTAAAGAGGCAGAGGCAAGGAAAGAGACATTTTCCCCTCACACAATAAGCAACAACACACACAATCTGTGATATCAGTGTCTTGTCCTTTAAAATGTCCACCTGCCACCTGCTTGCGCTGACTCAGACACTGACACACACACACACACACACACACACACACACACACACAAAACTCCAGCATGCCTCGGTAACAGATGGCAAACCCCGTAAGAGCACTAATAAGGAGATGATTTGTTAACACGCATCACTTGTTGTGAATCACAGATTGGGGATCTTCTGCTCTGATGAAGTAGCGTTTTGCTTTTTTAATGTCAGACCTGCGTGACTCACTCATCCCCAGCGCACTATAACAACACGACACACCACAACACTGCTTTTACACAAATGAATGATGAATCTTCCTGCTTTAAACTGGTTAGTTAGACTACAACAAACTTTTTTTTTTCCAGCTAAGTCATCATGCAGTTTTGGTTTTCGTGGGTGCTGTGGTAGAAATCAGTTGAAGAGTGAGATCTGTTGAATGTCCACAGTAACCATGGCACTATTTCTACAACACTTCATTTTTAGGTGTTTTAAAGTGCTGTCAGTGCCAAAACGTGCTCAAATATAGACAAAACTACCTGCGTGGTTCAACACCAGAGGAGAGAAAGCATATTTTTTTTGTGCAATTTGGCTTTTTCTTATTTCTCAAGAACTTGGAGGGTGATTGTTTGGCAAGAACTACATGACTGTTCAACTTCTTTGTCTCACTCCCGTATCTATTGATTCTCTCACATTCATATGCACATGCTACAGCCCTGATATCACTGTCAACACTGGCCATGTGCAAACAGTCCTCTAGTTCAAGCACACACACACACAGCCAGAGCCTTGCCCTCTCTTCCAGGAGCTCTCTGTTTAACAGCCAATCACAATGCTCCTCCATTATGCAATAACCAATCACGAGACCACACCGAGGGTCATTCTGTGTCATTCAATGTACATGCTGTGTGTTAAAAAATAAAATACTTTATTAATACCCAAGAGGAAATTTGGAAATTACAGCAAAGAGTAAAGTAAATAAATATGCAAAAATAAACAATAAGAAAATATAAAATGTACAATAAGTGTAATATAAGCTCTAATTGAAATGTCCTGTGTGGAGTGTGGTGCAAAAAATGTGCAAGAGTACCACAAAAAAAACAACAAAACCTCTCCTAAATAACTGCTGCTGGTATTTCTGAGAACAAGTGGGCAACAACACTTAGTCAGAGCTACAGAGGCTTCTTTATTTAAAGTTAGTCAATACAAGACTTCAGTAAAAAGAAGCAGAAGCAGGCAGAGAGGTAACAGGGAGGCTGAGGGATTTACACATGATGATGTGCAGGATTATCCAATTAAATCTATTTAATATGACCGGAGCAGCAGTCTCACACTACAGGGATTACTGTCTGGCACAACTAAATGGCAATAAATCAGAAAGAAGAGAGAATTGTGTTCCAGTGTGAACATGTTAAAAGCCCTTTACATTCTAAGAAGGTCATTTATAACAACACTATGCATGAGCTTCTTCTCTATAAATAAAGCAGCACAAATAGATGCAGGGACATTTCTCCTTGGACATGATTCCATTTATGTCGAACCTCAAAATAAATAAATAAAAAAAACAACCCAGTGCATGAACGTGAGCTTCATAAATAGATGGTAGTATCATGTGTGGCCTGTGTGTCGACATGTAAACATCTGCACGGGGTGAGGCTCTGCAGTCCGCCTGTCTCAGCTCCATTCAAACAGCCGCGCGTCAAGAAAAGCAAACACACAAGACAACGCCAAGATTTTTTTTTTTTTCTTTTTTCCAAATTAGCAATCAATAAACGGGCTTTACGAATATTTAAATCCCACTACACGTCCCCAAAGCGCCACGTTGCAGGAGATATTTAGTCTTTGCTTACATTATGTATGACGTCGCTCGTCGCTCCGAGATCTCTGCTCCATCCAAATGTTCCAGCTTCCCTCTTACTGATCCGCCGTCGCTCCGCACATCAAGTCATCCGTGAGCCTCATTCCGCGGCTCTGACATCTGATCTTAGATCCTCGGCTGAACGCTGCTTCGGTATTTAACCCGCAGTTAGAAATCTTCCTCCCTCCGTCAGCGAGCTGCAGCAGCGGCGCCACCCGATTGGCTGAGCCGGGGCCTACGTCACACATTGTTTACCGCACATTTCCCTCTTAAATGAGTGATGTCCTGCTGAGTCCTCATGGGTTTATGTACACGGAGCAGAAACTATGAATAAAGCACGTGATTGCGCTTCTTTTCTGACTTAGAAAAAAGATTTTAAAATTTCTTTTTTTATTATTTTTATTTATTTATTTATTTTAAACCTCTTAAAATCACATTTTGGGTTATATTACCACAGTATTTAATTTTTTAAATTACAGAAAAAAGTTTTAATATTGTATTTTTATTTTTATTATTGTTAATGTTTCTATATTTCTATTTATTTTTTTTTAAATTTTGTTAAATATATTTTGTTTTCTTTACATCTTTTATTTTTTATTCCTCTTTGCTATTTGATCAGATCAAATAGCAAAGAGGATTTTTTTTAAAAAAAATGCATATCAAACAAAAGCTGGGGTCTTAAGAGGTTAAGGGATAAATTTATAAGAAGTTGAACAGTGACAAACTCTAAACCACTGAGTTGATCCACCGAAATAAATGTTTTTTTTTTTTTTGGCTTCATATTTAATGACTTTTCCTAATTTATTGGGGACTGCTGGGTAAAGATAAAATTAACATATGTTTTCAATGTCATGTACATGTGGTCAGTTTGACCCCGGGCTGTTTTAGCTGTATAAAACATATAAGAAATATCAACACTTTACACACATTTGTTTTGGATGATAGTGAGGTCACTATAACATGTAACCCAACATAACAATAACTGTAGTAGTGCGAGAACCACTGATAGCGATGCAGTCAGCCATGTCCAAGACATAAAATCAGCATTTGAGCTCCTCACAACACCATCAATAGAAAAGGATATACTTGGAATGACAAATTTAGAAGGGAGGCGCATATATGGGACAGTTACAAAGACTTGGATGTGACCCACTTGCAGGCCGTCGTTGGATTGGTTCATTTAAAGGGCTATTTAGTTTGTCAACAAACAAACATAAAGTACCTGAAACATAAACTTCGGCAACAATTTTAATTCTAATCATTTTCTGGAAGTTTAAATCGCTGAGGTCAAACTGAGCCCAAGGATAAAAGATGATAGTAAACTTGAAGGTAACAGGGTCATTAAAGGACAAGTGACCGGCGCACTAACTCTTCTTCCACCAGTGACTACAAAAGGCCACCTTAAAATGCAGCTTTACTCGAATGACACGATGCCACAGATGACAAGAGAAAGACAAGAACGAGCTGTTGGCACGCTGGATGTTGGCATGTCAGTAAGTCGTTTCGGACAGCATTTGAGCTGTTTGTTTGGGATGGCTGTGTCCAACAACACAATCCTGTCCCCCAGAAATGTCCACCAACTTCACCGAGCCCATCAGGAAAACATCCCACAAGCAGCACCGACAACCTCAATAGCTGTTTTCTGACCTATGACCCCCACTCTCCATCATTTCCAATGTAGTGCACACATGACTTCCATTCTGTTGTAAAGACAGTTGGATGTAAAGAAAGTTGGATAAACAAATATTTATTCCTCTATGCTAACAAGGTTGGATAGAAATTAAGAAACTATTAAATGCTGTGTTTATATTTTTGTTAAGTATACGTCTCTGTGCATAGCCTGTTTGTTTTCTACTTAGTTACTTGAATAAAGACTAATAACGTTAAATGATAAATAGAGCTTGATGGACTTTGTTTAGTGGACAGTTGACTTTGACTTAAAAGAGCTACAAGGCATCTGCACTAAAACTCATCTGTTAACAGTGTCTCATCATTTACAGTTGCACTTTGATTTGTTGCAAGTGGATCTTTACTAATAATATATTAAACTGTATAACTACCCACAACTTGCTCCTGATTTATTAGAAAGTAATGAACTCCTGACTCCTCATTATTGACTTGAGACATTAATAATTCAACACCCAGTTTGTTTTTTTTTGCAACCTGGCAACCCAAAGGCTGGTCTCAGTAATGACCTCTAACTGATTTATTCAGCTGTGGCAAACAAATATTATTAGGGCGATTCATTGTAACTTGGGAAATCTGTATCAAGAACGGCCTCTTAGAAAGCTAAACCACATATATTTACAGTTACATCTCTGATACTGCTTTGAGCAGGTTAAAGCAGATGTTGTGATATCTTGGTGTTCTCTCTGAAGTTTGGATGCATTATCACTGTCTCAGTTGCACTTCTTTGCCTGAAGCTTATATATATGAGAGAAAAAAAGCTACAGCTGTAAATATGAGTATAAACTGTGCATTAAGGGAGAGAACAAAATAGAACCATAATTTAAATGCCCTTGATTCTTTTGTCTGTTCTATCAATACAGTTTGCTGTCAGACCACATTAAATGTCCACATTATTAAACAGTACATGTGTATTTGTCATATGGTGAGTTAAAGGCAAAGAGAGCATCATTAGATCATTAAATTGTTCATGTTTGTGTTAATTAAAGCTTCACATTTGAGTGCTATTCATGCTAAATAATATGAAATACAAAGTAGGACTCTACATGAGAACTTATCAAATTACAGCATTGGCTAAATCTTAAAATCGCACATAAACACAATTCAGCCTTAAGAGAAAAGCAGGAGGATCGTGTTCCTATTCTGAAGAAACACAAGTCTTGTATGTGCAGCTGAGGAGATAAGAATAGCACTGACATTCAGACGACTTGAAGGCATTTGTATTTGCGCAATGTACTGCCTGTGCCTCACTTGTCAAAACGTAACTCTACCCACCTGCCCTGACAAATTGAGGCCAGACAAACACGTTGTCGACGTGTTAATATTTTTCCTCACGGGTCGATTTTGAATTGGCTAATGCAGTTTGGAATACAATTTGGCGTGTTGTTCTGCAAGTGACGATTTGATTTGCAATGCTGTTTTTATGTGCATGCAATAATTAGCCAACTGCGAGCCCGAGCATATTCAGGATCTATGGTAATATAAAGACTGTTCAGAATGTTACTGTATGCATGTGACATTTTCTCTCATTTCTCCAAGATTTTGTAAAAAAATATATATTTGCTGTTTAGCCATGAGTTAAATAAGAAGGTTAACGTTATGCTCATTGTTGTATGTGAGGTGAGCAGCCTCACTTTGACCAGAAGCAGGAGCAATCCTCTGGCCTTGCTCTATCTGGAGATGCCCAAATCTGTCTACCAGGACCTCTAATGATCACAATTTACATGTTAGTCATTTATGTCATTTGTAAAAACAAACAAACCAAACAAAGAGGAAAGTCAACAAGTTGCAGTTTAAGTATTCCAGCTACTGACATCAGCTTCATTAAAAATGTAAAAATAAAAAGACAGTTCATCAATCTTCTTATCGAGTACTTGGGGGACAAGCTCAAACTGCCAAAGTATTCCTGAAACAGATCATGTTTTCTCTTTTTTTTGCAGTTCACTCAGTCAATAAATTTACCTCATTATACTGACAAGTTAAAAATTTATGGGTCAGAGGCAGAAAGACGCCTGAGAGGAAGGTGCTGCTGTTGTCAATAAACATGACTCACACATGACCCATATAGCACCATACTATTAGCATATGTCTGTATGTCATTACACGTGTGTGCAATATCACTTAAATGTCTAATGATTCTAAAATGGAGCACCTCTCAATAACTGTGTTAATTTTAAGTTGACAGGTAGAGGATAAATCATCCAAAACAAATTCTATAGAAAAACTATATTGAACTACAGGCTTTGAAGCTCAATGCAACAAAAGTGATCCATGATCACTGACACACAACTTAGAAAACCTGTGATCACTGAATCAATATACACCTGTGATGTCGAATCAGCCTAATTGAATGAAAATAGTCATGAATTACCTGCTGACACCAGGATGTTTGAATTTTAGACCAATGGATTGTGTTTATCTGCATGTCTGCGTCATGGCTCCACATGGAAAAGAATCGCCAGATAAACATTTGAATGTGAGACTTCACAAAAATAGATATTGGAAGATATGTGACCGAGCCAAAATCTGTTAAAACACAGCTGCAGCAGTAATCAGAAGGTAAACACTGAGCCACAGTACCACTAATCAGAGCTGCAGTGGTTGTCCTCCTATACTATAGGAGTATAGTATACTACACTATAGGACCTATAGTGTTGCTACAGACAGACTTCAGACTTCAGCACAGGGGTTATCAGTAAAGATCACAGCGGCTATAACGGCTCAGATAGAGTGAAGGGCTGTGCATACAAACAACATACATCCAGCTCTATGTTGAGGAAAATACCCTTCCTTGCTGTTTAGAACAGATTAAACTTTGCCAAATAACATGAAAAAAAGTTTGATTCAACTGACATTTTTTGGTCAGATGAGATCAAAAACATATTTGTCTGTGTTGGGGGTCCAGCACATTTGGTGTGAACCTGACCAGAGAATACATAGACCTGACAGTGAAGCACAGAGAAAGGAGTGTGATAGTATGGGGTGGCATGATAAGAATACAAAAACACTGCCAAAACCACACAAGTGAACACTACGGTCTGACCAAGCATGTTTCTTGAATCGAAAAATAAAAATCCTCCAACAGCAGAGTTGCAGATCATCTCTCCAGAAACTGAAGGTGCTAACAGGATGATTTGAATCTCAGTAGAGAATGCATTTAGTTCCTATAGTGGGGCCTGCACTTGTATACAGTAACTCCAAAACTGTCAGTTTAGAGGAAATGTAAATGTGTGTGTGTCTGTGAGAGAGACGTAGGAAGAGAAGCCGACTACACACAGTGCACTGGAGTCTTGTGCAAACTGCTGTAATCATTACAAAACAACCAATGGCATCAGTCTGATGCCAGCACCAAACTGATGCCATGAGGCGACAGCTGTTATTTTGTCAAGGCTGTGATTTATATGCTTAATGCATGACCGCCAAACCGTTAAAGGATC